CCAATGGTGGATAGTTGAGAGCTGAAGGTCAAACTTCTGGGTGTCTTGTAGGCTTCATCCCTGCATGAAGTTGATGGTGAGAGCTGGAAATGATCCTCTTGGAAAGGACCCATCCTGGAGCCTCACTTAAATCTGGGTCTGGATGACTGCAGTGTGCTGCAGAGCTGCTGCTGTGCTGGTCACTGAATGGTGCCTGGCTCTTCCCGTGCCCCAGGGCTTGATCCTTTCATAGAATCCTGGAATCCCAGGTTGGAAGGGACCTCAGGGATCATCTGGTCCAAGATTTCCAGGCACAGCATGACCCAGACTGGATATCCCAGCACCCTGTGCAGCCCAGTCTTAACAGCATCCAACACTGGGGAGTCACCACTTCCCTGGGGAGATTATTCCGATGGTTGCTCTCAATGTGAAACATTTCCCTCTTGTGTCCAATGGGAATCTCCCCAGCAGTAACTTGTGCCCATCACCCCTTGTCCTTTCCATGGGACTCCTGGTCAAAAAGGGAGTCTCCATTGTCTTTGTAGCCACCCTTTAAATACTGGAACAATCTCATCCCATTCACTTGTCCCAACAACTGTTGGCTTGCTGGATGGATGCAGAGTTGGTGTGTCGAGTTCAAACCTTGTAGGGAGATGGCAGTCCCTTGGTTTTCCCTTATTAAATGATAATGGGCATTGAATGATGGAGAAAGGATGGAGGATAAGGGTTGGATGGAGGATGAAGGGCTGGATGGAGGTATGGGAAAAGAAAGCAGTTCGTGCAAGATGTACAGCAGATGATAATCATCTAATCCCAGCCTGGTTTGTGTTGGAAGGGTCCTTAAAGCTCCTCCAGCTCCAACCCCTGCCACAGGCAGGGACCCCTTCCACTGGAGCAGCTTGCTCCAAGCCCCTGTGTCCAACCTGGCCTTGAACACTGCCAGGGATGGGGCAGCCACAGCTTCTCTGGGCACCCTGTGCCAGCGCCTCAGCACCCTCCCAGGGAAGAGCTTCTGCCTCAGAGCTCATCTCAGCCTCCCCTCTGGCAGGTTAAAGCCATTCCCCTTGGCCTGGCCCTCCAGGCCCTTGGCCAGAGTTGGACAAAGGAAAAACCATGGGTATCTTTGCTCCGGGGCTGGACAGTCATGGTAAATACTGCTGCTTAGGTGGGCTGAGCAGTGAAATATGGGGTGATGCAGCCTAAAGAAGACAACCTTGCTTTTGATTTGAATTTGGTCTCATTTTAGGTGTCTTTCAGAGAGACCACACCATAGGGAGCTGCTGTTGTGGAAAATGAGGTTCTCCCTCTTCAGAGGTTAAAACACCCACAACAAATTGTATTTAAACTCTTACTCCTCTAGTTTTAGGTCTGTTTTTTAGGCACAGTGTATGGTACCATGAAAGGACTTTGAGCTGTTGTAGATGTAGAGCTGGGGACTCCCACCATCCCACTCTGCCACTCACCTTGCCTCCATCTAGCTCTCCCTGTCCAGGACTGACCTCAGTTTGCCTCTTTTCCTCTGGCTTTTATGATCTCTGCCCGTGATGGGATGAAGCAGGATGGGGAAAATGCTTCTTTACCAATTAGAATGTTTTCTTCCCCAGTTGCTTCATCGACAAAGCTGCTCCCTTTAAAATCCAGGCCTGGACATGGGATTGAAGGAGGTTCAATGCAGTGGCCTCGTTTGAAGAAATGTGGACTAACTTAATGCCTTGTCTTGTGCTGTCCCACAGTGGTGATGAGGGATGTTGAGCTGACCTGTGAGTGTGCTGAGGACACATGAAAGGATAAATCACTGCTGTGGGACTGCAAGCTCATCCTGTTTCTTGGAATCTGGGACAGAGTGCAGGAAGATTCTGGCTTTGATCCCTGTGATGAAGATTGAGTCTTAGGGTGACAACAGCTTTCTGTTGGAAGGGCTGGGATGTGGTTGAGCACCAGAATACCATTCATGGGAGGCTTTTTGAGGGGTTTTTCACTTCCAGGCGGCTCATCAGAGCAACAAGGAGAAGCACCTTCATGTGAGTGCATCTTAGAGAGCTCATGGTAGTGCAAAACCAAAGTGGAAACCAGAGCTGAGAAGCTGGGTCTTGTTGCCTGCCCTAGGGAAGGGAGGATGGGCTCAAACACAGGTCTCCCCACTCACACACTGCCCTGTTGTGCTGTGCTCTCCTTCAGACAGGCTGGAGAGGTGGGCAAGAGGAACCTTTGGAACAGCAAAGGCAAGTGCAGGGTCCTGCCCCTCTGGAGGAATAACCCCATGCACACACAGGCTGAGGGCTGACCTGCTGGGAAGCAGAGAGAGACCTGGTGGCCATGGAGTTGTCCATGGGCCAGCAGTGTGCCCAGGGTGGCCAACAGTGTCCTGGGCTGCGTGAGGAAGAGCATTGCATCAGGTTGAGGGAGATGATCCTCCCTCTCCTCAGCACTGGTGAACTGTGTCCACATCTGGGGCCCTCAGTACAGGGGAGACCTGGAGCAAGTCCAGAGAAGGGCCTCTGGAATGATTCAGGGTCTGGAGCATCTCTCCTATGAGGAAAGGCTGAGGGAGCTGGGGCTGTTCAGGCTGGAGAAGGTTCAGTGGGATCAAGTACAGAGGTATCTAAAGGGAGGATGGGGCCAGACTCTTCCTGGTGGTGGCAGGCAATAGGATGAGAGGTGATGGAGGGGACCAGACTCTTCCTGGTGGTGCCAGGCGATAGGATGAGAGGTGATGGAATAAACTTAAACATAGGAAGTTCCACCTGAGCATGGGAAGAACTTCTTTACTGTGAGGATAAGTGACCATAGGAATAGGTTGCCCAGAGAGGTTTTGGAGTCTCCTTCCCTGGAGATGATCAAGAGTCATCTGGACACCATCCTGAGCAATGTGCTCTGGGTGGCCCTGCTGGAACAGGGATATTGAATGACCTTAAGGTCCTTTCCAACCCAAACACTTCTGTTGCCCTCAGTGCCATGGGTTAGAGGTGGATGTGGCAGTGCTGGGGTAATGGTTGGACTTGATGATCTTAAAGGTCTTTTCCAACCCACTTGATTCTATGATAGGACTCAGTGACCACCAATGGTCCCTTCCAACCTCAACCCTTCTGTGTTCTCATTTAAGCCCCGTACTTAAACTGCTCTGAATTCCCTGTGCTGTTTGGCATTGAGCAAGCACAGAAGGATGGGCAGTGGGAGAGGGATGATGGAACGTGGGAGCTCGGGATAACGTGAGGAGGGCCCAAGTGACTCATGGCTTAGTCATGGCACTGCCTGCACCACTGGCAGCAGTCATGTGGAGGACAGTGGCATCTGCAGAGGGTTTTAGACTGAAAAGCAATGGAAGGCAGCAGAGCATCAAGCCCACAAAAGCTGGAAAGTACCAGAACTGGTGCTCATGAAACCGATGCTAATTAAAACCCACGGGGCTTCATTTCTGAAGCTGGTTTGTTCAACTGTGGGGTTTTCTTTCCTCTTTTTAGTGGAGAGCATGACAAAACAACAGCAGAGAGTTCTGTGAGGAGCTGAGCATGGGGTGTTGGAATGTGAGGTCCTGGGAGCTGCTGTTACAGAGGCAGTTCTGCCTGAAGAAGTAGGCAGCGTTATTGGTATTCCTCTTGATGGCTCAGTGGAGAAGAACCAGCATGTTTGATGAGCTGATGCCAGGCTGTGATTAAATGCCATTCTCGCTGCTGTATGCATGTTCTACTCCTTTATTTATAGCACATTTCTGCATTACAAACACAAAAGGGTTTGCTGCACGTGGCTGCAGAGCACCCAGGGCAAAGAGGGCTCAATAGGAAAGAGTACGTGGAGGTCCATCCATGAGCAGTGTTCTTTCTGTATCCGCAATGGGCTGCAGGGGAGAAGCCATGGGAGGGATAGAGGAGCTGCTGGACCAGGCTGCTCTGGTCTGTTTGGCATTGCTGGTGTCCAGATGAGGGTTCAGGCTGTGGTGGGGCAGCACTGGCACTTGGCCTACATCTGCGTCCAGGTGGAGGAATCCAGACTGGTGTCTGAGTGAGAGATGGGATGGAGCAGCCCTGAGGAGAGCCTGGGGGTGTTGGTCAATGAGAAGCTCCCCATGACCCAGCTTCAGTGAGCGCTTGAGCCCAGAACCCCCCCATGTGCTGGGTGCACCCCCAGAGCGTGAGCAGCAGCTCAGGGAGGGGATCCTGCCCCTCTGCTGTGCTCTGGGGAGACCCCCCCTGCAGCCCTGATCCAGCTCTGGGGCAGCAGCACAAGAGGGACGTGGAGCTGTTGGAGCAAGGCCAGAGGAGGCCATGGAGATGCTGCGAGGGCTGGAGCAGCTCTGCTCTGGAGCCAGGCTGAGAGAGCTGGGCTGGGGCAGCCTGGACAAGAGAAGGCTCCTGAAGGGGAGACCTGAGAGCAGCTCCAGTGCCTGAAGGGGCTGCAGGAAAGCTGGAGAGGGGCTTGGGACAAGGGATGTAGGGACAGGCCAAGGGGAATGGCTTTAAACCATTTATTCCCTTGTTGGGACTTTAAGCTCTTTTTAGGCCATTTGAAAATCTGATTTCAGAAACCTTTGTTCCAGTGGTGTACAGGTGGAGGGGTTTCTTCCCACCAGTCTTCCCCCCCCCAGATCAGGGACCCTGTGAGATGGGTGTTAGGGGGAATGAGGACAAGCAGCATGGGGACAGGCTTAAAGACATTGAAGGGTGGCAATCCTATTGACTTAGAGGTCTGGAGCTGTGCCTTGGGTTTTGTGGCCTCTGGGATCTCCCAAGAGCCCCATGGGGGAGCAGACAACATTGTATTTGGTGTGAAAAAGGAAAGGATTTTAGCAGCTTGATAGTATCCCTTTATTATAATATCTATATTAGTACCCTGTTAGTAGCAACGCTGCTATTAGCAGGGTCCAAGGCATCATCTTTTCCTTTTTACTTCCTATCCCAAATTACAGCTGGGATGTACAGCTTCTTTTGTACATCTTTTTCGTTGCTATTTAGGAGGAAATAAAACCTTTCTCTTTGTTCGTTTCTAACTGAACACGTTTTGTTCTTTCCCTTGTTTTCCAGACTTCATTTTATGGCAGATTCAGGCACTTCTTGGACATCATCGATCCGCGCACTCTCTTTGTGACCGAGGTAATGTATATGCACCTTGTTGTCTGAAAGCCCTGTTTATTAGACAGGTTTAGATTGGAAACAATCTCTTCTGTGAAGAGCAGGAGTAATGAAGCCAGGTTTCCAGTGGATTTGTGTCTCACAGCTGATTGATTGCCCAACTGAGCTCTGTTCAATCCGTAGCCCAGACCTGCTTTAGATTAGACATCAGGGAATCCACACACCAGTCAGGCTCCCCTCTCCCTCCAGTAACCAGTGAGACCCTCCAGTGGTTTCAGTCAGATTTGCCAGGGATTTAGTCTTCTTAGAAGGAAAATTCCTACAGTCTTTATGGAATAAAATGCAGGTGAGTAGATGAGGGAGTAAATAGTAATTCTCATGAAGGGAGAGGGTCCACACTGCAGTTTTTCTGTGCCTGTACTCAAGAAGACCTTATCTGAGTGAGGTGGTGTAGTTTTTCCTTAGTTATTACCCTGTTTGTAACAGGCTTTTGGGGTTTCTGGCCCATTTATGTTCTGTCCAGCTTTATTGCATTTCCCTGCTCTCACAAAGCAGTTGTGGGGAATCCTTTAGAAGAAGTATTTCAACCGGTGATCTTCAGTTCTGCTGTTAGCCAGGAAGCTCTGGATTTTGCTTCCAGTGAAGGGGAATTCCTTTTTCCTTTTCCTTTGCTGCGTTTTATTTTGGTTCCTTTTGAGGTGGGGTTGTGTGAGATGAAAATAAATGTGCAAGCAATTCTCGGAGCACAGGGAGCTGAACCACTTGTTGTAGCTGATGGTCAGCTGAGGCCAGTTCCTTCTGCACTGTGATGGTGGTGAAAACGTGTACTTTAGATCCTGACAGGATCTGTAGGTCTTGTACTTTAAAATGTGTCATGTGTGTATATATGTGTGTATGGAGGTAGGCTGAGAACACTGGGGCTGTTCAGCCTGGAGAAGAGAAGCTGTGGGAGACCTCAGAGCAGCTTCCAGTGTCTGAAGGGGGCTACAAGGGTGATGGGGAGGGACTCTTCATTAGGGACTGTAGCGACAGGACAAGGGGTGATGGGTTCAAACTGAAACAGGGAAAGCTTGGGTTAGATGAAAGGCAGAAGCTCTTCCCTGTGAGGTGCTGAGGCGCTGGCACAGGGTGCCCAGAGAAGCTGTGGCTGCCCCATCCCTGACAGTGCTCAAGGCCAGGTTGGACACAGGGGCTTGGAGCAAGCTGCTCTAGTGGAAGGGGTTCCTTGCCTATGGCAGGGGTTGGAGCTGGAATTGAGCTTTAAGGTCCCTTCCAACACAAACCCTTCTGTCGTGGTTTAAACCCAGTCAGGTAACTCGTTCACTCACTCCCCCCCCTCCTTCTTGCCCTCCCCCTGCTCCCGGAGGGACGGAGAGGAGAATCGAAAAGAATGCAACTCCCACGGGTTGAGATAAGAACAGTTTAGTAACTAAGGTATAACACAAATCACTACTGCTACCACCAATGATAATAATGATAAAGGAAATAACAAGGGAAGAGAATACATCATCTCACCACCAGCCCCCCCAGCCCGACCAAGCTCTGACCGATACCTCCTCCAACCCTGCAGTCTCCCAGCCCCTCCGGCTAACTCCCAGTTACATCCTGGGCATGACGTGCTGTGGTATGGAATACCTCTTTGGTCAGTTTGGGTCAGGTGTCCTGTCTCTGCTTCCTCCCGGCTTCCCCTCCTCCCTGGCAGAGCATGAGGCTCACAAAGTCCTTGGCCAAACCAAAACATCGCTTGTTATCAGCTCTGTTCCCGAGCTGAAAGTCAAAACACAGCACTGCACCAGCTACCAAGAAGGGGAAAAATGACTGCTACTGCTGAACCCAGGACATTATCCACCCCTTATTCCATACCATTCACGTCATGCTCAGATCCCATATTTTCAATATACTCTTATCTTAGTGCATAGACCAGTCCCTATAAAGCTGCTGAGTCCATCTGGTCCATGATGTCAGGCTCCATCTCTTGTAATAGTCTTCCAGAGCAGGAGAGACTGTGTGCAGTGTTCACACTCGTGAATAACCTGGGCAATAGTGTCCATTGCTAAGTCCACCCCTCGATCATGAGTCCATCTCTATGTTGCATCTGTGCTCTGATGGCCTGAAGGGCCATGGGCCCACCAGGCTCAAAATAATTCACTGTCCCCTTCAGCAGTTTCTGCAGCTTGTTGCTGGGGACTCCATACAGCTGCCTTCCATCTCTGACGCTTCCAAAGCACTGGAGGGGCCCAGTGGACTACATAGTTGCCCATACTGTCCCACACACCCTGCCACTCATGACTGTCCAGCCTTGGGGAAAATCTCTTGGTCCCCCCATATCGTCGTCTAACCCCAGACAAGACCCAAACCTGACTCTGCTTAACTTTTGAGATCAGACAAAATGGTTGTGGGTAGAACACAGCCTGTATGTGTGCCAACATGCTGATCCCCATCACAATCAGCAGGCAGGTCCCAAGGATTCCCAAAGGCCATTCAAAACCTTCAGAACTCTCAGTTGATGCTGCTGTACTTGTCACTGGGGCTGGTGTAGCTGCTGTACTTGTCACTGGGGCTGGTGCAGCTGCTGTACTTGTCACTGGGGCTGGTGTAACTGCTGTACTTGTCGGCTCTCCCACCGCCAGCTTCTCTTTTCCTGAGTCCAGCTCTTCCTCCTCTGCCTTGCTGGGAAATGCTGCGTGGTCTCCGGCATCCTCCTGGGGCTCGGCGGGCGGCTTCCGGGAAATGCTCTCGGCCGTCGCGGGGCTCGGCTCGGCCGCGGGGCTCGGCTCTTCCGCGGGGCTCGGCTCCTCCGCCGCCTTCTCCCGCTGCTCGGCAGCCGCTTCCTTCTTCTCCTCGACCGCCCCGACCTCCTCCACCGGCAGCCGTCCCCTCGCGGCCTCCGGCCCCGCTCCCGCCGCCGCTTGGTCCCCGGGGCCGCTCTCCCGGGCCGCTTCAGCAGCCGCCGGCTCCCGGGGCCGCTCCCCCTCGGCTCCCCGCAGCCTCACGAAGATGGAGAGTAGGGTGAGGGCCAGGCCGGTGAAGAGCAGCCGGACGGCCAGGTACAAGTCCACGGCCACGTCCGTCCCGCCCTGCTGCTGGAGCCCGCCCGTATTACAAGCCATTGCCATAAAGCACAGTGAGACAAGAACCTTAGCCCAAGCCCCACACTTGATAAACACTAACACAGCAAATACCGGCTCTAAGTAAGTTACAACATTCTGAAGCTGTGAGATCAAGCAAAACAACTCTGAGAGCCAATAAATCAGCATTGTGACGAGTGACTATTAATCTGTCAGATCTGTTGTTATCTCAACCCTTCGTGCCCCACGTTGGGCGCCAAAAAGAACTGTCGTGGTTTAAACCCAGTCAGGTAACTCGTTCACTCACTCCCCCCCTCCTTCTTGCCCTCCCCCTGCTCCCGGAGGGACGGAGAGGAGAATCGAAAAGAATGCAACTCCCACGGGTTGAGATAAGAACAGTTTAGTAACTAAGGTATAACACAAATCACTACTGCTACCACCAATGATAATAATGATAAAGGAAATAACAAGGGAAGAGAATACATCATCTCACCACCAGCCCCCCCAGCCCGACCAAGCTCTGACCGATACCTCCTCCAACCCTGCAGTCTCCCAGCCCCTCCGGCTAACTCCCAGTTACATCCTGGGCATGACGTGCTGTGGTATGGAATACCTCTTTGGTCAGTTTGGGTCAGGTGTCCTGTCTCTGCTTCCTCCCGGCTTCCCCTCCTCCCTGGCAGAGCATGAGGCTCACAAAGTCCTTGGCCAAACCAAAACATCGCTTGTTATCAGCTCTGTTCCCGAGCTGAAAGTCAAAACACAGCACTGCACCAGCTACCAAGAAGGGGAAAAATGACTGCTACTGCTGAACCCAGGACACCCTTCCATGATAACTAAAAGCTGTTTGGTTTCCTTTGCTAATTGAGGTGGCAAATTAAAACTCCACGAAGGGTTTGATGAGGAAGCAGCAGTTTGTGGATAGCTCCTTCCCTCTGACAGATGGCTGCATCTTCCAGGCCCAGGGTTCTCAGGGAACAAATAAATCACTGTTTGTCTTGGAGGAGCTCACTAGCAAATGGGGGAAAAAAAGCAGATAAATGAGTTTCTAATGAGAATGGAGGTTAATCCCATGCATAATGTTATAATATGGGGGTTTTCTCCATCCTATTTTAATTGCTGTGTGTTACGTCATTACATCCTACTGGTGGCTGTATTTGGAGGAAGGATGAAGTGATCCCTCTGAGTGGGGGAAACCAGGCACAGTGATAGGGAGCATAACGAGCTTCAGTGACAGTCCTCTCTTAGTCATTCCTCTTTCAATAAGGCAAATCCTTAACACCATTAAAAACTTCCTTGTCTATTAAACGTTCTTGAGCATTAATATTCAAGGGCACATGTCCTTAGGGACACATCCTCATGTCCGTGACCATGGCAGGGGGTTGGAACTAGATGAGCTTTAAGGTCCTTTCCAACCCAAACCATTCCATGCTTACAGGGCAGAGGCAGTTGGAAGGCAGTTGCTCCAGTTTTATCTTTAGTGTAGATATAATTATCTATATCAAGCTTACCTACTAATTTTACTTGCTTTCTGAGTGCATCTGATACTGAAACAAGGCATGGACGTTGTGTCATTGGTGCATGTCACCTCCGAAGAGGAGGTTTCCTCATGTGCTAATTCATATCATAACTGGCTCCCGATGAAATCATCTTTGGCAGCAGCAAATGTGCAGCCTTCTCCCAATAAGCAGGAAAAGTGTCATCCCAGAGGACAAACCCAACGAGCCCTGTCACTGAGACCATGAGGAACCCCTCAGCAGATGTAATGCCTGTTTTCGAACAGCGTGAGCTTGAAATGATTGGGATAATGCTTTTAATTGCTCTGTAATTAAGATCCATTGGGAGAAGCAGTGTGGTCCAGCAGCTATTTTGATAAGCCTAACGTCTCCCATCTGACACGAGCCTGGCCAGACTGTTAATGCTCGTTGGGAAGCTCTTCATGGAGAAAGCTGTGGG